CTCAGGCAAAGAGACCCAGGACCTGGTGGCTCAAAGGCAGGCTGCCACGCACTGAGTTGTCAAGGAACAAGGAAGTATAGGCAGTACATCCACATCTGGGCATCTACTGTAGCCTTTCTTTTTTGTTACATAACTTTAACTCACCCTTTAAGACTCAGCTGAAGCCTAGCCTCTTCTGGAGTGCCTTCATAGAACTTCTCTCTGACTTAGCTGGCCCTTGTATATTTCCCAATACAACTTCCGTGTAACTACATCAGATAATCTGTTACCTTCTTCTGTAGTTTTGCTTTTCTATATCATCCACTTTGTGAGCTCCTTGAGGGAAAAGATTGTTGACCTGTATCTTCATAATGACTGCACAAGGTAGAGCCCAAGAGATGGTTATTTAACTAGCAAAAATAGTTATAAGAATGACATCATAAGGTAATCACTCAGTGGGTTCTTCTTGCCCACTGCACAGATAAAACTAATTTAGTGAGACAACAGTATTGCAGTAGAGAAAGTGTTTAATTAATGCAGGGCTAGCCAAGCAGAGGACAGAAGTTTATTACTCAAATCAGTCTCCCAAAAAGCTTGGAGGCTAGGAGTTTTTTGGACAATTTAACAGGCAGGGGTCTAGGGAATGGGTGCTGCTGATTGGTTGGGAATGAAATCATAGGAGTGTGGAAAACTGTCCTCATGCACTGAGCCTCTGGATAGGGTCCTCAGGACCAGTTGAGTCACAAGTCAAAGGTCCCGGTGGAGTCAGTCAGTTGCCAGAATGCAAAAGTCTGAAAAACATCTCAAAAGGCCAACCTTAGGTTCTAGAATAGTGATGTTATCTATTAGAGCAATTGTAGAGGTTACATATCTTGGGACCTCTGAAACAATGGCTGGTTATTGTTTAACTCTGCCTACATCTTAGTAGAATTTAGGCTTCTCTCATAATTATGACCTTGGGGTCTTTCATTAGTTTTACAAAGGCAGCTTCAGTCCGCAAACAAGGAAGGGATAGTTTTGAGAAGGGTTATTATCATTCTTGCTTTTAGGTTAAACTATATACTAAATTCCTTCCAAAGTTAGCTTGGGCTGTACCCAGAAATGAACAAGAACAGCTTGTGTGGGTAGAAGCAAGATGGAGTCTGCTGTGTTAGATTTCTTTCATTGTCATACTTTTTCTATGTCAGATATCTCTCTTTGTCACAATTTTTGCAAAGGTGGTCTCAATAATAGCAATAATCAGTATTTATTGAATGCTCATTCTATGTAAGCACTTGACATATTATCCTAACCCTAAGAAGTTGATAATTTTATTATCCCTATTTTCCAGATGAAGAAACTGACATATAGGTTTTTATGTTATTTGGGGGCCAAAAGATAACTTCCCCTTTGCCCTCTGAAAGTTCACTAAAAATAAGCTGCAAAAGGCAGGTTAATAGCAGAAAAGGCATACAAAATTATTTTAACATGCATAAGCATGGGGGAATCACATGAGAATGATTATCCACTAGCTAAATTGGGCACAGAAGCTTATATATTCTTCTTCATAGGGGAGTGGATAGATGGGAAAAGTAGACAATTTTTTGAAGAGCAATAAATGATTATTAGGGAGAATGAATGGACCCAGGAGACAGAAATTAACTTGTAAATTATTCTCTTTGGAATTTGAATGAACCCAAGAGGCAGGCATTATCTTGTAAAAAACATCTGTCCAGGTGTGGTTACATTCTCAGCTTTCTTTTGTGCAATAGATAATGAAATTTCAGGGAGAGGATGGAAGGCAATTGTGTTTTTTGGGGGGCTACTGTTTGTAGATAGATAAGGAAACTGTGGAGAAAATCTTCACCCTGTGCTTTGGGAGAGACAAGGGATTGAGAGATGGTAGTGAGGGGAAGGTCCCTTATATTTCAGGGTATTCTGGTATTCTTCTTACCCAAGATTTGCATAGTTATATGTTTTTTGTCCTGGAAGTAAACTGACCCAGTCTGAGTCCAGACTCTGAACAGACACTTAACCACTGTATGACTAAATCAGTGCATGAGTGAAATGAATGAATGAATAATAACCCCAAGCCTGATCCTTCCACACACGGGAGTCATTCTGGGATGACGTTATCGGGACAGTCTATATAGTTCAAATATTCGCTTCAATGTCATGTTCTGCGTACAGGAAGACTTCCAAGTAGCTTAACTAGAAGCATCAATCCTTCCTCTGGCACCTTTTTAGTAGCACTGACTACCATATGTTGGAATGTATTTGCATGTCTTAGTTTCTTTACTACTGATAAGATTATTAAAACAAACAAACAAACAAGAAAACTGCTTAAGTTTCTATTCATCTTGGAGTTTTCTACAGCCCCAAACATAAAGCCTTATACACAATAGGCTAACCAATGAGTGTTTGCCAGGTGAATAATGGAAACTTAAGTGACAAGCAAAGGGATCTTTGACTCTTCCTTTATTTTTCCCCAGAAACTGTAGAGACTCTTTTTTATCTCTCTCTCTCAGATTCCAGAGAGTCTGTGGTCATACAGATTTTAAATGGCTCTGTAAAATAAAATTATATTTAAAGATATTAAGTTCAGGGAGGAATCTACGAAGTTTACTTTGTAACATTTTGGTAATCATTTGGTTAGAAAACTGTAATTCTGAGAAACTGGTATTCTTCCTTCCAAAACTGCATTCATAGAATGAATTTTAAAACTTATGTAGAAAATCACCAATGTTTCTAAAATATTTCCATGGTAAAAAAAATTACTTCTTTAAAAGTTAACTATAGTTATCAAGAATTGCCTTTCTAAAACCTCAAATGAAAAGCATTTTCTCTTTCCACTGACTAATAAATCTCTAATCATCATTGATAATCAATTCTTAGAAAAGGACCATACCGAGTAACTTTGGCTGGGATGACTAAATTACAAAGCACGTATGTCAGAGCAAGTTGCAAATCTTCACTGACTTCCCATTATTTACAAAGGATGATATAGCTCATATGTATAAAACACATAGAAAATAATATAAATTTAATTCAGTGGACATTTATTTATTGATTGTGGTATATAAAATGAATGGCATTAAGTGCCAGGGAATATACAGGAACACAAGACCTGGTCTCCATCTTTGCAGAATTTATCATCTGGAGATGGATATTTGAAAGAGAGATAAATTAACATGTAGACTGTGTGATTTTATTATAATAACAGATAACATTTAGCACTTAACAATGTTTCAGTAATTGTCCTAGTACTTTACATGGCATGATCTCATTTAATCCTTACGAAAGCTCTATGTAGTAGGCATAATTATTATTATCCCACTACATAGCTGATGAACCTGAAGCTCAGGAAGATTCAGGTAACTTCTGCAAGACCACATGCCCAGGGGATGGATGGGTGGAGGAGCCAGGATGCAAACCTAAGCCCATGTGTATTTAAAGTCCATACCAAGAAGGCAGTAAAAATAAGGTACATCAAAGAGCACATGATTCGTTCAAACTTAGGGAAATCAGACGCTGTGGCACCTAAGCTTGCACTTGAAGGATGAAGGTGAATAGAGAGAGAGAAGGGCATTGCTAGCAGGATCAAGGCAGGTAGAGGAAGCTGAGGGGGACCTTGAGAGAACAGAGAAGAGTTAAGTGTTGCCATCTATGTAGATGGTAGCATGCATGTAACAGAGGAGGTGAAACTGAGAAAAGTGTTTGGAACCAGGTATCATTGGCCTTGAGCGTTACAGGAAGAGTCTAGACTTTTCTCATTAGGCAGAGGGCAATCACTGAACCGTTGTGAACCAGATCAGAGCTGTATTTTAAGATTGATTTGGCAGTCACGTGTAAAAGGAGTGAGATCCAGGAGAGGGAAAAAGAGAGGAGCAGTTAGGAAACTGCTAAAATAGCTAAGGCAAATGGCACTGGGAGTCTGAATTTGTACTGCAATAATGTGAGGAGAGAGGACCAAACATAGAAACAGGAGAAGATTTGGCGCTAGCTGATATTTTAGTCCATTTGGGCTGCTGTAACAAAATATCATAGACTCAGTGGCTTATAAACAACAGAAATGTATTTCTGACAGTTCTGGAGGCTGGAAGTCCAAGATCAAGGTGCTGGCAGATTCGGTGTCTGGTGAGGACCCTCTTCCTCGTAGAGAGGCATCTTCTCCCTGTGTCCGCACATGGAGGGAGGGGTGAGAGGGCTCTCTTAGGTCTCTTTTATAAAGACACTAATCCCATCCACAAGGGTTCTTTTCTTATGATCTAATCACCTTCCAAAGGCCTCACCTTCTAATCACCATCACCTTGGAGGTTAAGATTAAGCATATGAATTATTGGGGGACACAGATATTCAGAACATGGCACTGGAGGTGGGGAGCATAAGGAGAGAGATGATAGTGTTTCAGAACTTCAAAAGAGCAAGCATGTCATCTGTAGTGCAGAGGAATCACATGTCTTTTTCCAGTTAAAAGGGGTTATATTGGGAGATAAGGGGAGCTAAATAGGAATGGTGCAACCGGTGGGACACTTGAAAGCACATGAGTGAAGGTTGGGATTTCCAAATGCAGCAAAGCAGCACTTTTCATAGTGCAGTGCAGGGATTTGACACATGTCGGTCTATGACAAAATAATGATGTCCATACTTCTCAGATACTTGAAGTGAGCATGCAGACCTTTAACAAAGGTAGAGTATGTGGCATTTAAAGTCTGTGATTTTTAATTGTGAGCAATTGAAATGACTGAAGTGACCATATATAATTTGTATAAGTAAAACAAATGATTGCATATATAGTTTGTTATAAATATAACAATTTTAAAAAGGAAATGTAAACTCTAGGTTTTAAATTGTGCATTAATGTGTATACTGTCTTCTTAACTCAGCATGATAATAAGACAAGAGAAATGCATGCTTTAACAGTCTCTTTTCTACTCATCTGTTATCCTTTTCTTTGAACGTTTTAATTAATCCATCTAGAACATTCTTGTGTTTCCCACTTTCATATGAATATTTCTTTATTTTTTCCTATTTTTTAACAGACGATAATAATGATGAAGAAGAGGATGTCGAAATGAAAGAAGATTCAGGTATTAAATTCATTCTTTTATTATTAGGGGGTAAGTAGGGGTCATTTTGTTGTTTATGTACACTTCATATTTTTTCAAAGAAAGACAAAATAAGATTAATAAAATAGAAATATATGCTTAGTGTTATAAAATTAAAAAGTAGTTGTGCTAACACTTAAGGTTAATGCAGTTACTGTATTTAAGGAATAAATTTGACCTTGAGTTTCCTGACAGCCAAGGTAAAAATGGAACATGATGTTGTACTTAATAGAGTTATATAACAAATCGCCCCCAAAACTTAGAGTAAGCTGAAAACAACCACTTCTTATGCTCATGAGCACAGCAGAGATAACTTAATCATTCTGTTCACAAGGTGTAGGGCTCAGCAGGAAGATTCAACAGCTGGGAGCTGGGACCATCTGAAGATTCACTCACTTGTCTGGCTAGTGATTGATCTCAACTGTCAGCTAAAATATTAGCTGGGACAACTTCCTAAAACACTTGTTCATGACCATTTTATGTGGCCTGGGCTTCCTCAAAGCATGGCGGCCAGCTTCCAAAATGAGTTTCTCCTGGAAAAAGGGAGACAGTGTATTCTCAGGCTTAGACATTCCATTGCATCACTCCATGTAATTCTAATTCTTTGGAATAGTCATGAGCCTGCCAAAATTCAAGAGGAAATGAAAATGGACTCAATCTCTTGTGGGGGGTGGTTCTATAGAGCATGTAAGACCTAAAATATTGCTGTGGCCATCTTTGGAAAATACACTTTCCACATATTATATTTTGCTCTCATTATCAGAATTGAGATGCATGCCAACCCCTCAACAAAGCCCATTTGTTATGAGGAAAATCTCGTGGTTAAATGCACAGGTTATAGCCTAAGGTAGCCATTCAATGTGTCTTTGATAATGAATGCATGAATCAATAGACCTGAATTCAATTCTAGCTCTATCAATTATTGACCTTAGGCAAGTGTCATTTTCTATAAGCCTCAGTTTACAATTCTGGGGGCAATAATTCTTACCATATAGTTTTGTTTGGGGGATTAAATCAGATAACATACCTAAAGTTTCATACAGTGCTTGGACCATAGTAAAGATTCAGTAAATTATTGCTTTTTTCTTTCTCATTCTAACAGATATTAGAAGGATATAGAGCTTAATTCTATGATTAAAAGCTCCTTGTTCCTCATTTTGGCAGTCACAGTGTTCTGACTGTGAAAGAGGTATCTCAGAGGACCTAATTTTGTGTTACTTCTCATTTGATGCCAGAATTCCCTACAAATCACTGACAGGCTCAGTCTGGGCAGCTCCATCAGCAGGGAGCTCTTTAAATTCTGATGCATTTGATCTCACTACATGAGGTTTGATTGGGGTGTTCCTTCTCTATGTTAAGTTATATCTCTCTCCCTCCCCGGACTGCCCAATATCTTCAAGAAGAAATAACACCAGTTTCTTTTCTTCATAAAATTTCATTGGAACAAGGATTATAGCTTCTATCTACTCTTCTCCAGTCCAAACATGTCTGATTCCTAAAGTTCCCTTGGACTTCCAAATGCAATGGATTCAGAAGGTATGAGAAGTAGAAGCAGAATCTGAAAGTCAGGAGTAGGAATAAAGGAGGTAGAAGAGGAACTGTAGCAGTGGCTGTTGGTGCCCTACTTATGTCTCCTTGGTGCTTGCTTTATTTTACAGCACCAACAGCTTTCCAAGGAAAGTCCTTATGACTGTCTGCTGAGTGCTTTGCTCTCGTCCTGGCAGCAAACTCAAAGCACAAGAGAGTTAATTTCTCTGGAGCAGCCCTCAACCAATAATAGATAAGAGTTGGTTGATTAATACCCACATCTGATACATGTTCTGTTCCAATGCTGTCTAGTAGAAACATAATGTGAGCCTCAAATGTGAGCCTCATGTATAATTTTGAACAAAGTGAAAGGAAGAACGTAAAACTAACTGTAACAATATTTTGTATAACACAATAATCCAAAATATTATCATTTCAAATGTATAATCAATATAAAAAATAGTCAGATATTTTACATTCTTTTTTTTTCATACCTAGTCTTTGAAATTGGTATGTGTTTTACATACACATCTGAATTCAAACTAGCCACATTTCAACTACTTGTTGGCCATATGTGGCTAGTGGCTACAGTATTGGACAATATTGTTCAGAGGTCCCCAGTAGAACTGAGTCTTGGTTGCCCACAGTGGAATGTACTCATGAACACACCCAGTATTGTCTGCTTTCCTTTTCCTGTCTTTCTTCCCTATTCCTCTTGTGACACTTGCTAAAATCATCTCTCAAATTAACTGCTTAAAACTCAAACCCTTCTATGTTTGCTTCTGAGAGAATATGACCTAAGACAAGGACTTGGCTTGCCTTTTATAAAACATAGAGCTCAAGGTAAAATTTAAATTAAAATTTCAATTCCTATACCCATGTAGAATGTCTTATTGTAAAAAAGAGCCGTATGTTGAAAAAAGACTTTAAATTGTCACTCTGTCTTGAATTAACTTTCATGAATTTAATCTTCCCGTTCTCATTTATCTTGCTCACATGAAATGTCCTTGGAGTATCTTTTAACTACGAGGGATACTGCCCTTTCAAGCACCCAGTATAAGGGCCTTGTCTTGCCATGGATCATTTGCCTAAGTGCTATAAGTACACATTTCTAAACAGAGAGAGTTGGCTTCTCAATGAGATTTAGATAGCTGTCCAAACCACTGAATGATTTTAAGGAAATCATTATTAATGCTAATGGAGAGTCCACAAGTTTGGAGTCAGCGTTTGAGGTTTGGCGGCATTAATTGGATCATCATTTCTGATTTTAGTTCCACCAGGTTTCCTGGGAGTTTGGTCTCCAGCAGCTACATGCAGCTGTTCAAGTCATATTCAATGGCCCAAGGATGCTAAGCCACTCGGGCAGAATGGGCTTGGGAGCTACTCCCAATTTCCTGATACCTGAGTGCTGAAATCATGGAGGATTTTTGTGCTGAATGGTTCCAGCTGGCCTCACCAGACATTGGTGTGCATGATGGCCTCACTCAGATCTCACACTTAAGCATGTCAGTCTCGAAGATGAGTCTGAACCAGTCTCCCAAGGCCTTTAACTGCTGTCTTTCCCCTGCCCTGCACCAATTCTCCTTCTCATTCAAATAGAAAACTGGAGGGATTTTTACAAATGCAACTGACACTAATGAAGGGCTACTTGAGTGAATCAACTGGCCAAGACATGCTAGTGAATGATAGTGAATAACAACTTGAATACCTAAACCCACTGGGGTGCTTGTAAATGAACTCTCTGGATAAGGAGAGCCCCAGTGTGAAGAGTTTGCAGATTTCTATGGTATAAACACAAATACCATGATCTTTTTCAAGCTTCCAAAGCATGAGGTCAATGAATAGGAGAGCTGAGGAGAGATGGTACAATTAGCTGGTGTGAGCTGGCTCAAGTCAGCCACAGCACAGCTCTGCTGAGCCAGAGTTTAATTGGGCATGTACTTTGTGCCAATAACGTGACATGCATGAACTCATTTAATACACACAGCAATTCTACAAGGCAGGAACTGTTATTATTGAGGCTTAAAAGGGATTAGTTCCTTGCTTAAATAGCAGAGGCAGAATTTGAATCCGAGTTTGCCTGACCCCAAAGTTCATGTCCTTTACTTTCTTGCTCCTGTCTCCAGACTTTTATAGTAAGTAGAGGCAGGAGCATTTCAGATGGTATCAGACATGGTCATCTGCAAGGGGAGGCTCTACTCCCATGGGAGGTAGAAGAAGCAGACTGGCTTAAATGCCAAGAATTCCGTGTAAGTCCTTTAATCATCTTCCTTAATCCTTAATTCCTTAATGGCAAATGTCTTCCCATGTCCTTTCATTTCCATGACTGCACTGTTGAAATTAGCCCCAGTCCGAGTCAGCAGGGACGGAAAATTATCAACCACCTATGGAAACTCAACCACATCACAGCTGGATGCACAGTTCAGTCCCTCAGGGGACAAAGCCATGCTCCTGGCAAATCTCCAGGTTTCTACCCTCTGCCAGACACAGGGCAAGCTAAAAAACATGATACATTGTCAAGGAGAAGCATGGGGGTGCTTTTGAAGACAAGCAGAAGCAACTCTCTTCTTCACTCCTCCAGGTCAAGAGGGAAAGTTGTTCCTCCCAAGCCACAAGTAGAAACCTGGACACAGAGGCCTTATGTATCTGTGACTTTCATTTGCATGCCCCAGAACACTTTACCCATGGTGTCATGAGATGATACAATACTGTTTCATATAACATGTTTCATGTTCATATTCAACATGTATGCATGCCCAGTGACCCAAGGAGTGCTCTACAACTTTTTCAAAAATAAAATATTAGTACTTTGGGGGGGGGGTGCTTAGGTATTTCAAAATGTGGCACATGGATGTCTTTTTAAATAGTACCCACTGCCCAGGAATTCCTATTCTGGTGGGAAATGAAGACCTAGAAATGTAACTCACAAAAATGCAAAAAGTGATTGGAGAAATGCTGGTTTGGAGTTCAATTTCCAGCACTGGAAACTCTCTTCTTGCTCCCAGTTGCAGACGACACATTGCAGTGACATAGAAGGGTTAGATTTTTCTCCCAGTGAGGTTGCAAATGTCTCTTTGCCCATTGTATGAATCCCTTTGAGCCTAGTATTTGCACTCGGTGAGCTGCTCCAAGCATCTCATTTCTGTTTTTGCTGAACCCATTCCAAGGGTCAACATCCATCTTGCACCTGGTGACAGAAGTTTGGGGGAGTTGCTAATGTAGTCATTGGCAAATTTTTTCATCCTGGCTGTGGTAATAACCTTAGATGTGACTGACTTGCAACCACAGAAAACCTAGCCTAGTGCCCAAAGCTTTGCAGTTTATAATGCCAAAGTTTTTAATAGCACATCTATCAAATGTGGGGTTTTTTTTGTTCTGTTCCTTTTTTAATAAATGGGAAATGAGAAATGAGTCGCCATAGCTCTGTAATGTAATTTTAGAATCCTGGCATGAAGGCGACAGCTGCTAAGAGAGAATTAGGCAGGGTCCCCATTATATCTTGGCCTTAAAGAAAGGCCTGGGGAAGTGAAAATAAAATCGAATTTGAAATGAAATTCTCAAGGCACTGCTAGGCACCAGGGATACGAGAGGGATTAGGAAAGACAAGTGCCCTTTTCTCGTGGAATTTACATTGTTGGGGATGAGATGAGGAAGGAGACATACGGTAAAGGGATACACCAGAGAGCGAGATAATTTCAGATACAAGTGATGCGTTTGAGAGAGATTTCCTTTGTGAGCCTTTAGATTAAGCAGTCAGGGAAGGCCTTGTAGGGAGCTGAATTTGAACTGAGATTCAAAGCGCAAGAAGGGAGCAGACCTATGAATATGTGTGTTGGAGGAGTGGGGGTGAGAACAGCAGGTGCAAAGGTCTTGAGGCAGGAACTAGCCTAGCAGTGATTGAGGAACACAAAGGGAAAGGAAACTGACAAAGCTAGAGCCAAACACAAGTGGGAAGTGAGGCTAGTGTGGTAAGCAGGGCCCAAGTGATGTGCTGTGCCAGGCCTGGAATTGGATTTGGATCTTATGCTAAGCAATGGTTTTTAAACAGGCGAGCAATGTGATCTGGTTTATGTTTCAAAAGCTCACACTGGCTGCTGTGTCGAGGATAGAGTGTAGACAATAAAGAATAGAAGTGGGGAGATTAGAAGGCTAAGGGGTTATGAGATGCTAGTGTGGGCTACTGTAGTGATTCCAAAGGTTGAGCACATTGATGAATATGAAATCTATTTTAGAATGGAGCTGAGAGGGCTATGATAGGATTTGCGATTGCTTCAACCAGAAAAGTAAATGAAGAAAAATACTGAGAATGACATCTCAGTTTGGGGTTTAAATTCCTGGGTAGATAGTAATACCATTCCTTGAGATGTGTAATACTGTGGAAAGAACAGGCTTATAAACATCAAGTATATGATTATATCTGACTTTAAATTTGAAATGCCTGATGAGGTCCTTTACAAAAAAATTGAAAGGGCCTGATGGGAGTTGAGTGCAGGAAAGGAAATTATTAGTGCTCTGAAGAGTGGGGCATAGTTAAGTACCAGCCCCGAAGGGACAATGGGAAGGAGGTGTCTACGGGAGCCAAGAAACTTAGAGGGCCATGTGGAGAAGGCCAACTCTAGGGTCTGTAACCTTAGATTGAGGGATACAACCAGCTCATGAAAACCACCAGGTGCCTAGAAAGTAGATGCCCTGAGCTCCCCATTGGCTACATCTAATAGGAAGCCGGAGAACCAGGGAGTTCACTGATGCAATCCAGAAAATTCAGCCTCCCAGAGCACAGCAGGGGTGGTGAAGGATGGAGAGTGGATCTAGAGAGGCAAACAGATATTCATTCCCAAATCCCAAACAAGATGCCCTGTAGGCTGTTGAAGACATAAGTCATGAGCTCAGAAAGAAGACCAGGGCTAGATACATAAATTCACACCTAATGAAATGTGCTATATCCAAATGAATAAACTCGGAGATACTTTCCTGACACTGTCCTCAGAACTTAATTTATTTGCCCCCATGGATAGACTTAGAGGGGCATTGAGGAAAATAGGAAGCACAATAATTTAAGTAGGAAATACAGAAGTAGTTTAGAATCTGGATTACTAAAAACAGTTTGTTAAATAGAAGCAGGGTAATTTCTAGCCCCATTCCTTTCTCCATTCCTCTAGCCCTGCTTTCAGGACTGAGTAAGATGAAATTGCACCATGACAATTGTCAACTAATCTATGAAGATTAAAATCAAACACTCTTGGAGGAAAAAATAATTAACAGGGTTCCCTTATGGAGAATTTCTAAATTTATGAAAGCACATGTGTAAGATTTTACATTTGTGTGAATCCCTAATGCTATCTACAAAAATGTTTTAGCTTAAGCCTTAAGTTTAAGTCTATGTAGGTTGGAGAACCACAAGTCTTTGCCAGAATTTCGCTCAGCCATGATGACAGATGAATCTGCAATTAAGATTCAGCGTGTGTGTAGGTTTACTAAGAAGAAAACATTTTTAAATTTCAACATAATTTTGAACCCTACTGGTAAATATTTAAATGAGAATATTAAATCTTTGTGATTCCAGAGGGGTTAGAGCCAAAAGGCCTCTCTCCACCCCACAAGAAGAGCAAAGCAAAGAAGCCAGAATGTTCAAAAGACTCTAGCGAGGGTAAGTCCTGTCCCTCCTTCCTTTAGAAAATTATGCCATGAAAAGAAAATTATATTTAATTTTTAAATTATGTGTATAAACACACTCATGTTCAGATATTCCTAAGGGTTAAAATATCACAGAGAAATTATTTCATCCCTTTCTAATATGTTTGAAGATGAAGAATCAGATTCAAGTTTATTTTGTTAAGGTAAAACCCAGATTTTAAAAGTCCATTTTGTCAGTGTGATGTATTTTCCATGTCTGCAAAGCAAAAAACTGTAGGTAGTGCTTACCAGTTACATGTTCCAAAATTGTGTAAAAGTGAAGGTCAAGATTTGCATGTGATGACCAGCTTTGCAACTATTGGCTTATTGGGAAAAATGTTTTTCTGATAAATACATTCTGAGTCTTTCCAGATTCAGACTTCAACAACGGATGCTCAAAATGGTTCCTGTCTTTAGCATTCTCTTTCGTTTTCTAGGATCCTACATACCTTTGCATTTTTGCACTGAATGGGCAGGTCCCAATGGACTCAGTTTTATGAAGAAAGGACACTGTCTCTCTTTTACACACTGGTACAACATACAATTCATTCAAATTTTCTTTTAAAATGTTGATGAGGTGTTCTTTTCATGTGAACCTCAAACCTAAGGGTAGTACAAACTTTTACCCCTGATATTAGCCCAAAGGCAGAGAAGCAATAGAGTAGTACAAATTTTTTAAAGGGGGCATATTTACGCCTTGTCCTTCTTGCCTTGAGCCCCACCTCCTCCACTGAGAAATGAAGAGTGTAATAATACTGATGGAGTTGGGTTGGGTCTTGAGGGAAGAAGATGCCAAGATGGAAGCAGAAGTGCAGGATAAAGGTGAGAGAAATGGGCAATGGAGCAGGAGCAGCTGAAAGGGGAGAAGAAAAGAAGGAGGCTTAGCTAGGAAGTGCCTCAGTCTGCGGTGCAGTCTGGAAGTCCAGAGGAGTCCTGCACTGGACGGGAATAGCTGGACTCTAGGGTCTCGTTTTCCCATGCTCAGTCACTGGCTGCAAGTAGTTTGGGGAGAAAGTGGCTGGCCTCAGCAGGAACACGATGCCACGGGGGTCCTCAAAAGTGTGGCTGCTGGACGCTGTCAGCTTATTTATCTCCTAGCAGCAAGTCTCACTTGAACTCTTGAGCTGCTCACGTGCAGGACTGCACAGTATCCCTGTGAGTGCTGGGGCTTCCGGTGCTAAGTAATAATGCTGCTTTTTCACCTTTCTGGGAGTTTAGAACCAATCGAGAAGACAAAGCTGAAAGAAAGGTGGAAATCAAAGCATTAGCTTGATTACTTATGTGGTTAGGCCAGAGCATCTGGCTTCCCTGCCCCCAAACAGACTTCCTAATCCTGGATTTCAGCTGTAAACGGGAAAGCTTTAATCACTGTTCCCTCACAGGCAAGTGCAGGAGTCCTCAGCTTCCTAGACCAAGGCTGCCCTGGTCAGCTTGTTATAGGACGAGCAGACCAGGAACACGCCTTCTCTGTAGGCAGGTGGGTCTGAGAGAGACACAAGATAGGACTGTTTCCTTCTCCCAGGCTTACTGTAAGTGAGGAGAGGTGTAGAAAGGCACAGAAGTAGATGTGATCCCTCCTCTAGACAAGGAGCGAAGGATGAACGTTTCCTACTGACAGTAAAGAACAGAAATAGCATGTGTACTGGCCTAGCACCGGCCTGGCCTTTGGCCAGTGATGGCTGTTATATCAGTATCATAATCATGGCCATGGTAGGGTATGCACTGCCCTAATTCAGTGAAATGTGCTTGAAAGTTTAAAATTGTTCGGAGAAGAACACTTAGAACCAGGGAAAAGGCCAGCTGCAATAATTCACCCAAGATGTTCAGCTTTGTTACTGCCTGGTGGGAGAGTAGCTGGGGCTTCCAAATCTCCTGTTGTAGTTCGGTCATTTTCTAGACCATCTCTTAAGGCCACACTTGGGTAATGAGCTGGGGCAAAGCAACACTCACCTTTCCCCTAGAGAAACTCTACCTCACCAAATGATTCCCACCACATCCATAACCTATGTCAAAAGCTGTTTTCCAGAGCCTGAGCCTGTTGTCATTTCTGAGCCTCATGTAACGGCTATTAAGCTGTAGCAGTTCTTCCACCTTTAATTAAAGAAGGGAATTCTTCCAAGTTACTCCTTCCAATGTGTGAAAACTTCATTTACTTCCTAAATCAGTTGCTTTGTTTAAGAACATCATTCCCCAATCCTAATGATTCAATAATACAGCTTCACCTCCTGTCATTATGTGGTCTAACAATCTGCTCTGAATCATAAAGATGAAAATGTGGTAACTGGATTTGCTAGCAGGGACATTCTTTCTGTGGTGAAATGTGAATGTGAGGTACTCTCCGGAAACATGGGAATTGTGCATTTGTTCCTAAGAGGGCTCCAAAGACAAATAAAAAACTGAAAATGGCTGGGCAAGGGGTGAGAAAGGGAGCACCATCGGGCAGGCAGCGGTGGATGATTCCATGATGTGCTGTTGTGCTGAACCCCTCCCACCTTTAGTGGGGATGACACCAGGTTCGAGAGGCTGAGGAAGAGCCCCAGAATCACTGAAAGAGACATGGGGTTTTCCTGGGGGCTTTCATACAGGAGAGAGAGCCTGGTGGCAGGAGCCTGGGCAGGAGGAACACAACCACTTATAAAAAACATGCAGCGACAACCTTTCCTTAACCCAAGACAAAGGGCCTCCATCCCTTGTACAACCTGAGTTCCACAGTATGGGCTGGGGGCTCAGATGTTCCCTGTAGATAAGAATCTCCAGGTTGCCACTCCTGGATTCTAGTTGAGACCTTCGAACCGCATGGAGGTGCATCTACCACATGGTTCATTCTCAGGATATGCTTAAGTGATAGCTATCAGTTGGTTTACCACACATATGGCACTTATTACTTATCAATGTTTCTATTTCGACAAAATAACCTATGTCCCTGAATTCATGCATTGTACTCTTGCATGTGTTCCATTTCCTGTTATGATACAAAGAGTTACAATCATTCTTTCCTAATTGATATGCAAATGAAATCTGGTATCACTGGAAGAGGCGCAAGTTTTAAGGCTGACCATTACTCTTCTCTCTAGATCTTCTTCCCAGCTTAGAGTTATCCATGTTTTTCTAGCTTGGTCATTGCATATTTTTTTAGAAAGAGAAGCTCCTGGTATTTTTATTTATAGATCACTCGGCTTAATGCCCCAAAAATGGGCCCCATCTCTCTTCTCTCCTTCTTTAGGATTCCCTGGCCCACTTCCCACCCTCACAGGTACTACTGATGTCCTCCTTTTACCTGATAACACACATTTTCAGAAAGGGTTACAGAAAACAAACTCACCTAGATTTTCCAGCATATATAGTCATAATAACTGTATTTAGATTCAGAAGAAAAATTTCAAGAACATATGGTCAAATTTTCTCATTCTACAGAATTTTTTAAAGTACAGACTACAAATGCTTCGTTAACTTGCCCAAGTCCATGCAGTTTGTTAATGTCACAATCTCTTTTTTTTTTTTTTTTTTTTTTCTAGAAAAAACACAGCTTCTGAAATCCTTTTCTCTTTCTCTTTCCTGGAAATTAGAACAAATTTTTTGAAGGAAGAAATATTGTCAACATTATAACCTTGAGTTAAGCATTATTACTTTAGTAAACATCTCACTGAGATATTGAACATCAAAATTAAAAATCAAACAATTTCTAAATGTATTTATTTGCATTTTTATGCTGTGTACTTTTGAATATAGTGGTTTTATTATTTTAATTAAAATTTCATGAACCACTGTGTACTTTGGTTTCACACGCTCAACACCATACCAATAATGAAATTATTAGTAATTTCAAACTACTAATTGATTGGCTGTCATCTGCTATAAATGATAATGCCATCTATGAACCAGCAAGACACAGACAGAATTGTTTGGGAAAAAAGTCTAGTTAGTACCAGTTGCATTAATTCTAACTCCCCATAATTTAGATCTTTTTTTTTCTTACAAAAAGTTGAAAGATTATTATTGCAGAAAACTTAGCACCTTTAATAAAGCATACTTTTCTCATACTTCTTCCTTTGTCTTTCAGAAGTAAATGCTCTACAGGTTCCTTTAGTGAAAGTCTCTCAGGACTTATTTGCCTGAAAATGGTATTATTTTGCATTATTCTTATAAGGCAGTATTGGTGGGTAAAAATTTGAGGTTGATGGTTATTTTCTTGCAACATTTTGAAGTTGTTTTCCTGTAGTTGTTAAGGAATATTTCAGTTTGTTTTTTGCTTCTTTTAAGCTGATCTGTTTTTCCTTTGTGTCTGCTTTGACAATCTACTCATTATCTTTTGTGTTCCATAGTATCACTATGATGTGCCTAGGTATAGATTCATTTTTATGTATCCTCTCTTAGAATTTGCTCTACTTCTTAGATCTGGGAATGGGCATCTTTCATTAGTTCTGAAAAACTCTCACATACCACTTCACCAAATATCACTTCAATCTATTACTTTCTATTCTTTCTTTCTCTGTTTTTCATGACTTTTAACCCATATCACATTTTCATCCTCTTGTTCTCTTCTCTCTATGATGCCTTCCGGTTAATTTTTTTCAAGTCTGTCATTTAACTTGCTAATTTTCTATTCAACTGTATTTAATCTGATGTTTAACTCTTCACTGAATTTTTAATTATAGTTTTCTTTTTTGATACGTTTTATTTGGTTCCTTTTCAAATATACATGGACATTTTTAATTTAATTAACACATAAAATACCTTTAATAATCTGCATCATAAATTTTAATATCGCTAGTGTGTACAAGTCTGATTCTGCAGTTTATTGACTCTGCAAACTTATGCACTTGGTTATTTCCTTGTGTATTTTGCCTTTTTGATGATCATGTTCCTTGGATTTTTACTTATGGAAGCTTTTTTGATGTTGCTTTAAGAGCTCATTTATTTACACTTGGTTTTCTAAGATACCTGAAGATACCACCTTAGCAATACCTTAAAGTA